TGAGAAGGTTCTGGGTTCGGGCCCCACCCGGGACCTTTCTGTGTGGAGTTTGCGAATGGAGGTTGGCCAAGGTTATAGAGACAGTAACTTCAAGGGATGGACTTGTGAGAAAGGTAAAGATACTACTTGGAGACAAGAAGATAGATCAATATGGACGGCGTGCTAGCAAGCATTCTATTGTGGAACATCCAGTTCAAAGAGGACTACTAGTGTGGCTATTGAAATGAAACATCGTGAGGATCACCCTGAAAATGCCTGAAATCAATTGCTGAAACAGCTGAATGATGAGAAGAAATGGCTGAGGTTCTTTGTTGAAATAGCTGAAGGGTGAGAATAACCGAATGATTGTGCACGTTGTAAATAACCATTTTTATTAACCGTTTATAGTGTTTATTAATACAGTTTAGTTTCATTGTTTGTTCTATAAAATACGTTTATTACTACGGAGTATTTTATTTTGAAGGAAGAAGTAGAACAGGAAGTTAAGACCAACGAAGAAGAAGTACAGAAAGTGAGCAGAATAGGTTTCACAGTAAAGGTCATTAAGGTAGAAATCATGTGTGTTTAATTTTACAGTATTAAATCACTAATGATTTGGTGGGAGTGTAAATAACCATTTTTATTAACCATTTATAGTGTTTATTAATACAATTTAGTTTCATTGTTTGTTCTATAAAATTCGTTTATTACTACGGAGTGTTTTATTTTGAAGGAAGTAGAAGAACAGGAAGTTAAGACCAACGAAGTAGTACAGGGAGTGAACGAAAAAAACAGGAATAAATAGTTAATGAAAACGGAGGATAAGAAAGTAATATACAGTTTCATTTTTGGCTTAGCATCCAGCCAATATGGGCACAAGGTTTATAATGTTTAGTTCATAGGGTACAATGATTCATTTGGGTTGCTAATTTGTCTATGGTTATATTTTTGTATGGGTTAGCCAAAGGAGCTAATGTTAGCTTTATGCTACGCTATGCAATGCTAAGCTACATTTATGTGTGATTTAACCGTTTTTGTTATTGCTGAACACTGTGTTTATTTTATCGCATTTTACTAAATATTTATCTGTAATTTTGGGTGCTAACTAGCTTTACTTTTGTTTCATAGCTCTTACAGTGTGTTCAAGGTGTAATGAAAGGATTTCAAGGAGCAAATAAAGTACAAATGAACCATCAGTAAAAGAGAGCATGCATATCAATTGGCTGGGGATGCTACAGTAAGAGCTTCAGCCTAATAAGAGCTTTACCCATAAGCTCCACCACGTCTTGTGGATATTATACTGAAGAGGAGTCGATGTGACGGTCTGCGTTTGTATTCTTGACTCATAAAATGGAGGCATCTGAAGATGTACCCCTAAACAGTAAGGAAGGAGTTTGGGATACAGAGCCTGACAAGGCCATAGAAGATGAACTTCGCTGCCCTGGTCGCTTACGGAATCCCACAGAGAAGATGCTTGCATTTCAGGAAGAGGAGGCTCAAAAAAGGGAGAAAAGGCTCATTCACCTTTATGAACAGTGGAAGATTCAGGCACGTAACTCTAGAGATCAACTAAAATTGGATATTCCTGAGAATCAAATTGTAGCCTTTATAGACACTCTGGAGAAGAAAAGAGATGATGTTATTAACATTTATGTGAAAATAAGAGATCAATTCACTCCATCTAGTGAAATTAGACGTCGTATTGATGCCTGTGAGGCAGTGACAAAGAACATTTTTAAAATAGCCTATGAAAGGATATCAGGAATAGATGGAGATTTCGATAGAGAAGCAGTGAAACAACGCCTCCGCGAGCTACTTGACAGAGATTATGCTTGTTCCATCTATGGTTCCACAGTTTCCCACTGCACTCAACACTCTGCAAGGTCCCTAGTGGCAGCTAAAAGACTTGATGCTGCTTCAGGGTTAGCAACTAAAGAGGTTGAATATGAGACATTATTGGAAGAGGAAAAACAGCAAAGAAAAATTCAGCTTTTAGAAGAACAACAAAGAAAGGATCTTGAGGCCCGCAAACATGAACTGGAAAGACTAAAGATTGAAAAGGACATCAGGGCTGCACAAGCTAGACTAACAATCTATGATCAGGAAGTCATACGGAAGGCTAGTGGCTACTCTGCTGAATACAAACCCGAGGGATGGCAGCATGCTTCTCCAGGTAAACCTCTATCTTCGATTCCTATTCAACAGCACGTCAATGATTCAGTGTTGACATCACCTTCACATAATGACGTATCATATCTAGCTTGAGCAGTTCAAGACAGCATAATGCTAAACAGACTTCCAATACCAGAACCATCTGTTTTCACTGGTGACCCTATTCAGTTCATAGAATGGAAGGCTTCATTCATATCACTGACAGACAAGAAGAGTATCTCTTCTGCAGACAAGCTGCATTATTTGAGGAAATATGTGGGAGGTCCAGCACGAAAAACACTAGACGGCATCCTTTTTAGGAACAATGATGAAGCCTATAAGGATGCTTGGAACCGTCTCAACAACAGGTATGGCCAGCCCTTCACTATACAAAGGGCTTTTAGAGAAAAACTAGCTAATTGGCCAAAAATTCAGTCAAAGGATGCAGAGGGATTTAAGTCATTTGCTGATTTTCTACAAGCATGCCAGGAAGCCATGCCTCATGTTAAGGGACTTGATATATTAAATGACTGCGAAGAAAACCAAAAACTGGTTCAAAGGTTACCTGACTGGGCAGCTATGCATTGGAACCGCCAAGTTACTCAGGTTATGGAGAGTAGGCAAGAATTTCCAAACTTCCAAGAATTTGTTACATTCATGCAAATGGAAGCAGAGATTGCTTGTAATCCCATTACCTCCATTCAGGCTCTACGTGCAGCAGAGTCACCTGCAGAGAAACCTCACCACAAGGAAGGAAAAATTAAATTGAGTGTCCTAAAAACACACTGTCACAGAGACAGAAAACCCAGTGCGCCCCAGGTCTAAACCAAAGATAACATGTATGCTTTGTCAAGACAGCAACCATCATTTACACCACTTCCCTGAGTTTAAGGTGAAATCTCTGTAAGAACGACGTAATTAAATGAAGGAAAAGAAACTCTGCTATGGATGCTTAAAGCCAGGTCACAGTGCAAGGGACTGCCGCTTCAGACACACATGGTAAATCTGCAAAAGTAAACATCCAACCTGTCTACACGACTTCAACTATACCAAAACTAAATTTGTCTCAAATTCAAATCAAGGGGCTGCAGATGAAGTAACTACTACACTGTCTCTCTGTGTAAAAACTGAAGAGTCACCTGCCAGTACATCCATGATAGTTCCAGTATGGGTTTCTTCAGTTAACAATCCAGGTACAGAAAGGCTTGTTTATGCCATGCTCGACACTCAAAGCGATACAGTCTTCATAGACCAGCAAGTGGGTCATAGCCTGCAAACCAAAACACATCCTGTAAGACTGAAACTAATCACCATGCTTGGAAGTGACACATTAACCCACAGTGAAAGGATTTTGGGTCTCAGAGTAAGAGGTTTTAACTCCACCACACTTATTGATCTTCCTCCTGCCTATACCAAGAAGAGCATTCCGCTGAATTGAAAACACATTCCTACCTGTGAAACGGCAAGGCACTGGAGTCACCTCAGCACAATAGCAGAGGAAATTCCACCACAGCTGGAGTGTGAAGTGGGCCTGTTGATAGGATACAACTGCTCAAGAGCACTGGCACCAAGGCAAGTAATTCTGGGAGGAGACGATGAACCCTGTGCAGTTCGTACAGATCTGGGGTGGAGTATTATAGGTTCAGCATCATCTCACAACAACTCACCAAGTCTCACCAACATACTGTATGTCACAGAGTTACGGTCAAGGAGCTTCCACCTGTAACTCCCTCTGATGCTATCAAGGTCCTGGAGTCTGATTTTAAGGATTCAAGTGTAATAGCAAATCAGTGTCTCAAGATGACATTGTCTTTCTGAGCAAGTTGGATGAAAATATTCAGAAAAACTCTCACGGCCACTACGAAATGCCACTGCCCTTCAAGAGGAGACCCACTCTCCCTGATAATAAACATCACAGCACTGTACAGGAGCGTGAAGATGCCAAAATGATCATTCTAAAGGATTTACAAACACAGGTGTATTCAGAAGAGATTAAATGTCTCAAAAAGGGATCTCAACTTCCACCTCAAAGCAGACTGTATCAGATGGATGCCTTTATTGACCAGGATGGAGTCCTCAAGGTGGGAGGAAGGCTGAGACATTCACATCTTCCTACAACAGAGAAACATCCGATTATCATCCCAAAGGACCATCCTATCACCAAAATGATAATAGCTCATTATCATGAACAAGTCAGACATCAAGGAAAGGGTCTCACAATTAATGCAATCAGATCAAATGGATACTGGATTCCAGGAATAAATAGAGCCGTTGCTACATATGTTCATCGATGTGTGAAATGCCGGAAATTCAGGAGACCTGCAGAGGAACAGCGAATGGCGAATCTGCCCTCAGAGCGTGTGGACCCATCACCTCCATTTACCTACTGTGGAGTGGAATGTTTTGGCCCCTTTACTACAAAACAAGGGCGCAAGGTACACAAACGATATGGTCTTCACTTCACATGCCTTAGTAGCAGAGCCATCCATATTGAAATGTTGGACGACATGACAACAGATGCTTTCATTAATGGCCTTCGCTGTCTCATCGCCATCAGAGGGACAGTACGTCAGATAAGGTGTGATCAGGGAAGTAATTTTGTTGGAGCTAAAAATGAAATGGAAAAGGAAATGAACGTTAATTGACTGACTACATTCTTAGCTGAAAGGCAATGTGATTTTATCATGAATGCTCCACATTCAAGTCACGTGGGAGGCGTGTGGGAGAAACAAATCAGAACAGTAAGAGATGTTCTATGCTCCTCCCTGTCACTCTCTCCAGGAAGGCTGGATGATGCTTCTCTCCACACATTCTTCTATGAGGCCATATAAACCAGCACTAAAATCAAGAAAGACGGACTCCTTCCTTACTCAGATCTGTCCAGTAAAAGAACTGAGGTATAACACTGCAAAAAGAAAACACAACAAAAAGCAAATCATGTCTAATAATCTGTAGTAGAAAAACAGCTGAATCATAGCATACATATACATTCAAGTAAACCTCTCAGTCATATACAACCAATTCTGACTATTTTATAAACTGATAATAATGTGTTTAAAGTATAAATTATAGATTTATATTATAAAGTTTGGAATGTCTGCATGAGTCCATTGCTGGTCTCAGCTATGCACAGAGAGGAGTCTGGAGTGAGGGGGAGATGGTGCTTTGATAATAGGTGTGTAGTGGAGTCCTGATGGCCCATTTCTTTAGCAAGTCAAAGGGTGATATGTCCAGGAACGTTTGTTTGCCATTGATATGTGAAGTCTCTCAGTGGTTTTTACATAGTCCCCTCCTTTGGGTGAAAAAAGGTGTCCAAGCTTAGTGTTATGTAAAGCAGGTCTTCTTACCGGATCAGAGACCTCTCCACTTTCTCTTTGAGTCTGTGGAAAACAGGCACACAACCTCTTGGGGTTGGGGGTTACTGAGGCGCTAATTTGCTTACTGCCTTAGGTAGTAGAAAGTACATCTAAACATTACATAGTACAAACATAGTACATCTGACATTTTGTTAGAAGATGACGTTTAACCCAAATGAACTCTTATGTGTTTTTGCAAGTGTGTTGTGGTGTAGCATCTTTTCCCACAGGTGCTGCAGCAGTGTGGACTGTGTGGCCTATTAAGTGAGCATTCAAATCTGATGACTGCCTAAATCCTGTTCCACACGTCTTGCATACATATGGCCTCTCACCTGTGTGGGATCTCAGGTGGACCAACAAGTGACCCCTGTGTGTGAAACAGTTCCCACATGTTTCACAAGAATACGACTTCTCCCCTGTGTGGGTTCTTAAATGAATCTTCAAATCTGATGACCGCATGAATCCTTTTCCACAGGTTTCACAAACATATGGCCTCTCCCCTGTGTGGATTCTCATGTGGACCAACAAGTGACCCCTGTGTGTGAAACAGCTCCCACATGTTTTACAAGAAAATGGCCTCTCACCTGTGTGGGTTCTATGGTGGATCAAAAGGCCACTGCTGGTTGAGAAACTCTTTTCACATGTTTTACAAGAATACGGCTTCTCACCTGTGTGAGTTCGTGAATGAACATCCAGATCATATGACCGCACGAATCCTTTCCCACACGTGTTGCAAACATACGGCCTCTCACCTGTGTGGGATCTCATGTGGATCAACAACTTCTGCCGTTCCCTGTAAGAGTTCCCACATATTTTACAAGAATACGGCTTCTCCCCTGTGTGAGTTCGTGAATGAACATCCAGATCATATGACCGCTTGAATCCTTTCCCACAGGTCTTGCAAACATATGGCTTCTCCCCCGTGTGGGTTCTCATGTGGATTAAAAGGCCACTACTGGTTGCGAAACTCTTCCCACACATTTTACAGGAGTATGGCTTCTCACCTGTGTGGGCTCGCAAATGAACATTCAAAACTGATGACTGCGTGAATCCTTTCCCACAGGTCTTGCAAACATATGGCCTCTCACCCGTGTGGGTCCTCATGTGGATTAAAAAGGCACTGTTATATCTGAAATTTTTCTTACACGTTTCACAACAATACTGATTCTCCGTTGTGTGGCTTCTAAGATGTCTATAAAAAATAGACTTGTACCTAAACGTTTTTCCACAAGTGTCACACTTGAAGGACTTTCTATCTGTGGGAGGATCAGAGTGAGTCTCTGACAGGGGAGAGGTGCTCACACTGCTACTGTGACTTGTGTCTTTGTGACGTCTCCTCTTTGGCTTTGGCTCTGCATTACTAGCTGATCCTGAGTCTCCATGCTGGCTTCCTTCCTGATCCTGGCTCTCAGCTACAGCAGAGCTGTGACAGAGGAGCTGCTGGTCACTGGTTGGTTCTGCTTCACTGTGGTCCTTATCCTCATAAGTAGGAGTCAACACAAAGGGATCGGTCTCCTGCTTCAGTCCAAGCTGCTCTCCCTCCTGACTGCTGCAGAGTTCCTCCTGTTCCTCTTTAATCTGTGGAGGCTCTGGGTCCTCTTGGTCCAGACTGGAGTTCCTCTCCTGGTTCCAGAGCTGCTGGTCAGCCAGAACCTCCTCCCCCTTACAGACATGTTGCTGTGACAGCTCTGGAGGGACAAAGGAAGGAAGAGGTCACTGATGTAATGAGAGAAAGACAATAGTAAAGTTTCTTATTCACCAGGTTTTAGTTTAAATTTTCAGTCTGCATTAAACATCTAATAAATCCTGTAGAGCAGGGGTTCTGAAAGGTCCAAATCTGATTTCTGTTCAAGTTCAAAAGGTCTTGAACGATCAGTGATAAGCAAATTACTTTTATTAAACTTACCAGCAACATACATTCATGGGCCACTTTATTAAGCACACCAGTACATTTGTATACAATTCAATGTAACTCTTCCACCTTAACATCTGTGTATATGAAGCTCAAAATGTTTCAGTTTTTGGTGAAATTGTCAAAAATGTATACATTCAATTATATGTTTATTACTGAGGTCATAGTTAAAGGTGGTGTTGTACTGGACTACATTATATTTAGAGGTGTATGTAATATCCTGACCTTCCCATGTGTGTAACCGGGGAGGACAAACATATAGACACACAAGGCTCAAGAGGTGAATCAGTACCATAAATAGGCTGCTCTGTTACTAGTTATAGTACTGAACTCAAAACCTTAGCTAAGTAAAAAATACACCCAAAATATACTTAAAATGTACCAAACATAAAAGTGCAGAATGACCCATTTGAAAATAATATATTACTGTTACTGGATTATAATTATTGATGCATTCATGTGTCTTTAAAATTATAACTGGTAATGGTGGGGCTCATTTTAAGATATTGTTCTGTATATACTGTTGGGCAGCTACATACACCATAATTTATTTGCTGATTTTTAATTTTTATTGATATGAATCTACAAACTAACTAGTAACTAAAGTTATTTGTAGGCAAATAAATGCAGTGGAGCAAAATCTACAGTATTTGCCTCTGACATGAAGCAGAGTAGAAGTATAAAGTAGAACATTTTATTTGATAGCATGTAATTGTACACAACAATTACAGATAACAAAATCACATTAACAGGAGGAATTTATGGGGCTACCAGAGACACCTTTCTTCATCTGGGGACAGAGACAGAGCGATTACAAAAGATAGTGGCCAATACATTCACCATTTATTTTTATTAGTTAAACAATGTTGTATGGATATCTAGTTTGCAATAAACTACAGTTAAGCTCGTAAAGCAAGTCGTAGCAGTGAACTAAACCTTTGTGTGAGGGTGAGGGGCCGCCAACACAACAAGTCCCCTACGACACCAACACACCGAGGCCCTGTCGAGATGTGTCCCCGTTATAAGTGTTTCACGTAGCGCCCCTCGGTGGTTATGGTCAGGATAAGATTGGGGTTCAGGTTAGGGGAAACATCTACAACTGTAATGTTACCATGTTCTGAAGGTATTCACAAAACATGCTAGAGGAAGCAAAAACGTATATTCAGTATCGAAACCATTTCATTATAAAGTCAAATCTCTCTCGTTTTATATGGGAACTTTGGAATAAGGAATCAGCGTCGCGACAAAAAAGGGAACCTGTGTAACAGTTTAATTCATGGTGAGTCATATTTCCGTGTTAGATTCAGTTCATCCGTTAGTATTATTAAAATCATTTAGGTGTAACAGACCTATTCTGTGTAGCTTTACTTCTGGTTTCCAAACGATATCCAGCAGTCTGCGCTGACGA